AAATTATATTAATTCAAATACAAACATTGAAGATCCCAGCCCTGTAGCAGCAGTTCATGTCTCCAATGGACAGATGCGTACATAATGTAGGGGAAGAATAATGCCATAATCTCACGGGCACTTGGCCTATAGTCTGTTCTCTGATCTTAGATACTTTAGCTCACACACACACACACACACACACACACACACACACACACACACACCGTGGTGGAGGGGGGGCTTGATATGTTTGGAAATAGGATCTGTACTGGGTGAGAACTGAAATCTGATCCTTCAGCTTCTCTCTCCTGCTTGAAGGCTTACAAGACCCTGCAGGCTCATACTGGAGGCTTCAGAGTCCACAGAAGCCAGGAAATGTCTGAGAACCCAGAGAACAGGTCCACAGTGTACTATTAATCAGTTTCCCACGACTACCACGAGAAGGCTTGACCTTGATTCGGCCATCTGCTTTCCTCTTTTTAATAATACACCACTCAGATAGGAACTAAGCAGGCCCTGAGCAAACCACAGTAACTCTATATTGGCATGGCGGCCCAATGACCCATTTGTGACATTCATTTATTTACGGTGTGTGAGCGTGGGTGGGTGTGGGTGAGCACGTGCTATAGCACAAGCGTGGAGGTCAGAGGGCAACTTGTGGGACTCAGTTTTCTCCTTTCACCATGCACCTTTTACCTGTTGAGCCAGCTTGCTGTCTTCAGATAGTCTATTTACACCCCACCTGAGGCCACTTCCAAAAGAGTTCACCTCCTCTCCATATCCCTGCACTCAACACTGGAGGGCACACCATACCTACAAACCATCCCCTGCCGTCGCCACAAGAGACACAGAAGGCATGGGAAAGGCTGTCCACCGACGGTCTTGCTGGTGCTTATGTCTCTAAAGGTTGGCATGTCCACAGGCAGTGGGACTGGAGCAGCGATGAGGATGACTTGGAAGGTATGTAACCTCTTGGGTAGAACTGGACGGGAAAAGGCTCCCGGGAGGAGTGGGGTGGATGTGCTGCTCTGGGGACTATGGGAGTAAAGTGTAAACAGGCAGGAAACAGCCCCCAACAGCAGAGATGCCTTCCCTCTTTCCCTGCTTTATAATGAATCAGTGCCCTGTTGGAGTGTCTGTTCTGCTTTTCTAGTTGACAATAGCCCTCTCCACAAGCCCCGCCTCTGATGCTTCTGTGCCAGATACCTCCACAGTGGGCAGTGACTGCGGGCCACCTGCTGGAGACTGTGCATAAGATATTTGGTTTGGGGTTCGTGCCCCCCACAGCTTGAGGAGTCTACAGACACAGGTCTCGCTGTCAGGCACAGCATGGGTGGTGGGTGGGAAGTCCACCCTCCTTTCCCCCTCTATCAGGCCTCCGAATGTCAGCGATTCTCTGCCCTGTCCTCTCACTGATGCCTATTTTTAATGGACACTTAGGCAACCGGGAGGACACTGCATGCTCCGGGGTCCCCGAGAAGGCTGGCGATTTCATCTCCAGTCACCTCCACTCTGACTCCATGTCCCATACCGCGGGACTAGGGGCGAACCCTGAATATGCTTCCACCAGGGACTCCTATGTCCAGCGGGCCCTTGAGCCTCTAAGGCAGTAGTAACAGAGCGTGCACTGGAATGGTCAGCACACACAGGCACTCAACCCGCCACTGGTCTTGTTTGGGCAGCCACAGGCTAAGGGATGGAGGCCCTGTCCAGCAGGTTTAAGCCCCCCCCCATCCTATCCAGGTATACTGCTCTGCAGACAGTGGTCTCCCATCTTCTAATCTTGTCCCTGGGGCTCAGACCTGCTAGTCACCTTCTCCGCATACTGTAAAAACCGTCTGGCCCCCTCTTCTTTAGGTCACCACACATCTGTTTCCTGAAAGATGAGAACAAGGGGGATTCGGCCCTTTTGTTCAAACTGGCAGCTTGTGTTTAACACATCCTGTCAGCAATGGAACTTCTGTGATGTCCTAATGCCCACCAAGACTCTCAGGCCATCACAGGCCCAGAATATTTATCAGCATGTGTGTTGGGCTATCATTCTATTGCACAAGACAAACACAACTCCTGGCTCCTGACAGGGGCACTTGTGTGTAAAGGCCATAGTTAATTGCATAGTTAGGGAGGTGACAATGTACTCTTGATCCCTCCTCCAATCTCCCCATATTGGAGAACTCTATGGGAGCAAGGTGGAGGAGGAGGAGAGCGGAAACTGGCGGCAGTGATGGAGGGGACAGGTGACATGAGGCAGCACACAAGCAGGGAGGCCACCGCCACACACACAGGGTCATGGAGGCTGTGGCAGCCCCTAGGAAGAACAGGGGAACACGGGCACTGCCCCCTGGCATCATGGAGAGTCTGGGCTGGAAAAAGATCCCCAGAGCCCGTCCTCAGTGGCTGGGTAGGGGACAAAGACCCCGAGGCAGGAGCAGAGGGGTGGGGAACTGTAGTCTGAGGTAGTGCAGCAGAGGCCCAGACCCTCACCCTAGCCTTCATCTCCCTCCTCCTTTCTCCAAGGTCATTCCATCTCTGCCACTGCCCTAGTGCACGCAGAAGCATGTTTCTCTGATGCCAAGGAGGAGAGGGCAGATCCAGCCATTGGTATGTCTCTGGTTTTCCTTCAACTCTTTCTCTGTAGCTCTCTTGACGCCCCCCCACCACCACCACCACATTTTCCAACTCTCCTGTGGTGGGGCCTGGCCTCTTGCACACATTCGTAGTCCTTGAACTTGAACTTGCTCTTCACCCTCCTCCTTAACCCAGCCTCAGTTTCTTTTTCTTGGTGTGGTGATGCCATAGGTAGAACCCAAAGCCTCATTGGTGCCCTGCCACTGACCTCCAGTTCTAGTCCCTATGATTTCTGAAGATCATAGGACGGACAAGGTGGCGGTGCATGACAATCAGGCAGCTGTCTGTTTACCCTGAGGGTCTCGGGATGGGCCATAGAGGAGGAAAGGGTCATGGAGAGGGAAGGCAGGTCATGGTGCCACTCACTTATCAGAGCTAATGGTCTCCGGTGAACCCCATGTGTCGATTCAGCCTGCCTGTTCCACCACCCCAGGGACATCCTCTCCTGAGGTTCAGGTTTACTGTGTTTCAGGGTCCGGTGATGACATCTACAAGGAGGCAGAACTGTGATCATGATCACGAAGACGGGGCCTGCTGTGCTCGCACGCTGCCCCTTTGTGCAATGGGCTACTCTAGTAGTTTGGATTTAGGATTTTTGTACATATGTTTGCTTCTTTTCGTTGTTACAAACGCTCTGTTTCTACTGTTGGCTATTTAACACTGTAAATACGTTTCTCCTATCTTGGTGCATAGTGTATATTAAATGAAAATTGATTCCTGCCGGTCTGTAGTAAAACCTTTCTTGTCGGGTAAGCACTGCTAGAGCAAACCTAAAGAGAAGCCGATCCTCAACTTCGTGACCCGCCGTCACTCCCTTGGGCCAGCGCCACACTGTGTCCCCACTGAACACAACCACTGCCCCAGGAGCATGTGTCACCTGTCCTTAAGTCACTGTTGCTCTAGGCCTGTGGCTGACTCTGCTTTCTGAATCCCCAGGCAAGCTTTAACAGAGCATAAATAATACGTGACCACATCCAGCCTGTCCTGAGGAGCCCAGGAAGTTCTCAGAACAGTGTGAACTCACTTAGGAGGAAAGTTCCTCCCCAGGCTGATAGCATCAGGCCTTTCCGGTCCCCAGTGTCAGAGTTCTAGGGAAATTAACAGTTCTTTGGTACCCATAGTTTCACAGAAGGTTCTCTTTATAATAGGCCATCTTGAGGCAGGAATTCTGGCGGGGGTGGGGGGAGCATCAGTTCAGGGCACTAACTGCTCTAACAGAGGGCCTGGATTTAGTTTCCAGCTGCAGTTACCTGTAATTCCAGTTCTTTCTTATAGCACCCAGGCCCACCAGCGGGGGTGGGGAGGTGGGGGGTCTCACACTGCCCACAGTGAGCTGGGCCTTCCCACATTAATCATTAACCAAGACAGTTCAGTATCTTCCCAGGTTTGCCTACAGGCCACTCCTAGGGGGCATTTTTAAAACTAAGAATCCCTCTTCCCAGATGTGCTAGGTGTGTGAAGTTGACAGAGAACAGCCAGCATGGTGTCTCACGTCAGTGATACTTGCTCATCTGTGGCCTTTGCTGCTCTTTTCAGAGCAGCACGGAAATGGAATCGGCCTTGATGTCCACCAGCAGTAAGACATGTACACACACTAGAGTTTTATTCAGCTGTTAAAAAAAATGAAATCTGCAAGGAAAAAAATAGATAGACCTGTAAGACTCAGAAAGCAAGTACAGCATCTTCTTGCACACATGGGAACCCTAGCATCTAATTGTCACGAGTGTGCATTTTAAAAGATTTATTTATTATGTATACAGTGTTCTATCTACATGTTTGCCTGTACACCAGAAGAGGGCACCATATCTCATTATAGATGGTTGTGAGCCACCATGTGGTTGCTGGGAATTGAACTCAGGACCTCTGAGCCATCTCTCCGACTAGTGTGCATTTCTATGGGAGTGAGTGTGCAGAGACTAGGAAAGAAGTGAGGGGCCTGCGACGTGGGGAAAGAAGAGATGTATGGCAGTTAAAGAGGGAATACTAGTGATGGAAGGATACAAGGGAGACTGGGGCCAGGGAGATGAAGGAGAGGAAAGGCAGGAGGATCAACCAAAACTAGGTACATATGAAAAGGCCTGAACACAAGCTACAGGCGAGCAGCCCTGGGGAGGTAGGCTGAGGACCGCGGAACCAACGACCCTCAGCGTAACTACTCGCAAGAGACACTGTTAGTGATTAAGATTGAAATAAAAGAGTGTGCCTCTGCCAGGTCACCGGGGCAGATGCGATTATCTGGCAATTGCTGCCACTGAAACTGCAGAAAAGACACATTCAGTGTACACAACAGAGCCTGCGGGGGGAGGGGTGCTGTTCCTTCCAGCCTTGAAGAACAGGGAACTGATTCTCCCATGCAGTTTTACTTTCAATTCTCCGGAAAGCCTAGTTTCAGTTTCCAGACTGGCTGGCTGCAGAGCTGAGAAGCCGACCAGGGAGGGAGGAGCAGAGCTTTGCCTGGAGACTTCTTCATTTAGTATTTCTCCGTCCCTCCGTCATCTTCCCCAGAGTTTATCTGGGGAAGGCTGGAAATTTCTCCCTGAGCAAAAGCACCGAGGATTCACTCCAAGGAACAGGGTGATCCCACAGAGATGGATCCATCCCCTGACCTATACGAAACCCCTGGGGACAGTCTGGACCACTTTGTGGAGCACAGCCTTCAGCCCCGGAGGGACTGGAAAGAGGAAGGGCAGGACGCCTGGGAGAGAATCGAGAGGTTCCTTCGGGACCAATGCTTCCAGGATGAGCTGCTTCTGGACCAAGAAGTCAAGGTGCTCAAGGTGGTGAAGGTGAGCACAAAGGGTCCTGGGTTCAAGTCCCATCTCTGCCCTGTGGGATCTGTGACCGGGGGAGATGGGCCACTTCACCCCTCTGAGCCTCAGGCTCCTCTTCTTAGTTGGGTTTATCATAGGCAATGAATGGATAGAGCATAGGAAAGGCTTCTGCATATAAAATTAGTCTTGCAAAGCTGAAGGACGGTGGTGGTAATGAGAATTTGCGATTCTGATCTCAGGATGGACCACAGTCACCAGTTTCCATAAAATGTGTGCCTCCTAGCAAGACAATAAATAGTTGGTAAGCTCAATGGGACTCCAGGGGCTACCTGGGTAAGTAATTCAGCATCTACTTAAAATCTGTAGTCTCAGCCAGGCGGTGGTGGCGCATGCCTTTAATCCCAGCACTCCGGAGGCAGGGGCAGGTGGATCTCTGTGAGTTCGAGACCAAGCCTGGTCTACCGAGCGAGTTCCAGGACAGGCTCCAAAACAATACAGAGAAACCCTGTCTTGAAAAAACAAAAATAAATAAAATAAAATCTGTCTTCTCTGCTGGAAAAGTGCAAACTTAAAACACATCCCCTTCAATCAAGATTGTTTGGATCAGAAATCCAGGTGTTCTTCATTTTGCTAAAATGAAAGACATCTTACCTAAACTGGAGTAAGTCAGACTTTATCCAGGACCCCTGACTCCATGCATGGCCAAAGAGATAAGAACTGGAGAGAAAGGACTTAGGACTATGATGAACCTAAACAGACAGACAGCTGACACCAAAGATCAGGAAGAGCTGTTAGCAAAACAGGTTTCAAGCTCCTACAGTTGCCTCAAAAGCTGCAACCCACCCCTTTGGTATTCCAGCCCTCTAAACCTCTGCCTCAGCCAACAGCTCCCGGGTCTAGGGCTCCATCAGCCTCTTTGCTTCTGAGATGCTGAAAGAAACAACAAAAAACAGGAAGTCCAGAGCTGGGCATGGCAGCCCCCACCTGTGACCCCAGCATTTAGGAGGTCGAAGCAGGAAGATTACCAGTTTAAGGCTGTCAAGTCTGGGCTATGTAGCAAGTTCCAGGTCAGTCTTGGCTACCCAGTGAGGCACTGTCTAGGGGAAAAGGAGATGCTGAGATTCATGTTCTCTCATCTTGTTAGTTCTGAAACGCAGCACTGTGTTTCATTATAGCATTTTTCAAACAGTAATTTGTTTGGTGCTGGGGATGTAGCTCTGAGATTGATATGTTGTTTGCCTAGTATGTAAATCCATCTGTAACTCTAGTTCCAGAGGACCCACACCCTCTTTCTGGCTCTGGGGACATCAGGCACACATGTGGTGCACAAACATACATGCAGGCAAAACCCATACACGTAAGGAGTGTTTGTTTATTGTTCTTTATTTTCTTTCTAAGTTTGAGATTTCCGAACATTTGGATTTCTCAGTTTGGGCCTAGGGATGCGCAACCTATAATATCCACAGCAAAGGTCTCCCTCCATGATGGGGACCAATGGTTTCCCTTTTGTGTGTGGTTTTTTTCAAGACAGGGTTTCTCTACTTAATTTTGACTCCTGGAACTCATTCTGTAGACCTGGGTGGCCTCAAATTCATGTAGATCTGCCTGCCTCTGCTTCCTGGGTGCTGGAATTAAAGGTGTGCACCACCGCTGCCTGGTCCAACTGCTTCTTTTAAGGATTTTTTGTTAGTTTGTTTTGTTTTTCAAGACAGGGTTCCTCTGTATTGCTTTGGAGCCTGTCCTGGAACTTGCTTTGTAGACCAGGCTGGTCTCGAACTCACAGAGATCCACCTACTTCTGCCTCCCAAGTGCTGGGATTAAAGGCGTGTGCCACCACCGCCCGGCTCTTCTTTTAAGGATTGTATAGGGGACTTACCACTAATGCATTTGGCCTACCTAGAAACCTCAAAGCACCAAATCTCAGGATAGGTCAATTTGTACTGTCCCCTCCACAGGGAGGCTCCTCTGGAAAGGGGACAACGCTGAACCACAGATCTGATCAGGACATGGTTCTGTTCCTGAGCTGCTTTTCCAGTTTCAAACATCAGGCGAGACTCCGAGAAGTCATCATCAACTTCATCAAGGCAAGGCTGCTTCACTGCAGGGAAAGCCTGGCCTACAACATCACTGTGATTAAACAGAGAGAAGGAAATAGGACCCCTCGCTCCCTGACCTTAAAGGTCCAGCCCAGAAAGAGTGACGACATTATTCGGATGGATGTTCTGCCGGCTTATGATGCTTTGGGTAAACCTAGTGCTGGATCTGTTTCAAGGAAATGGTTCTGGGGTCTGTTCTTTCTGGGAGAGGCTACAAAAAATAGAAACCACTGAAGTTTACTCTTTAGTGGGGAGGTAGGAGTGGGAACATCCCCTGAAGATGTGCATCCCTCCACAAATGCATGGGTCCCCAAGTCCCAGTGTTGCCCAGAGAAAGACGATTCATCGAAATGAATTCCTACCTACCCTCTGGGAAACACAGGTCAAACAACAGTTCTAAGGTCTTTGGTGTTAGCCAGAACTGGATTTAAATCATCTGTAAAACAAGGCTCTCATGTGTTCACATTTTATAACCTGTGTTACCTTGGGTCAGCAACTTGGGCCTCCAGACTTGAGTGCACTAACTCAGTGCATGTAATAATGTTAAGGAGAGTCATGGTAACTGACAATACTTGCCCACATTTGAGTTATAAAAATGGCAATTTCCCATGGTTGCCTTTGAATTTACCTCCTTTTTGGAGCTGATCTGAGGACTCCACGAGCTTAACTGTGATCTCTGTGCTCAGGAAGCAGAGGCAGGTGGATCATAAGCCTGATGGCAGCCTGGGATCCACAGAGAGACCCTGTCAAGAAGGGAGGGAAGAGGGAGGGAGGAAGGGAGAGGGGGAAGATTGAAGGAGGATGGAGGTGGGGAGAGAGGGGTGAAGGGGGTGAAATAGGGCAAGGGAAGAGGGAGGCTTTCCTATCTCGCCCGTCTCAAAACCTAGAGTTTCCTGACCAGATAACTTTCTCCTTCCAGGATCCTTCTCCCGAGATTTGAAACCAGACCCAGAAATCTATGAAGATCTAATAAGAACTAAAGGCAATCCCGGGGAGTTCTCACCAAGCTTCACAGAGCTGCAGAGACATTTTGTGAAAAGCCGCCCTGTTAAACTGAAGAACCTCCTCCGGCTAGTGAAGTTCTGGTACCAGCAGGTGAGGGCTAGGAGAAGAGGAAGGGGAGGGTGGGCACAGCCCGTTATGTTTTTAAAGAGGGGATGTAGCTTGCTGCCAGGGAGCTTGCTTGGGATGCATACGGGCCTGGGTTTGGTCCCCGGCACCATCTAGAGAGGTAGAGTGGGGACGAGAGGAGCAGATGAGAGGCAGGATAAACAGTGAACGAAGCTGGACAAATGGAGTCTATTCACGACCTGCAGCACTGAACAGTATCAGAGCCAGGCATCACTATGGCGATGGTGTTTGTGTCTTGCTTAGAGCCTCCTGCTTCCAGTGACACCGTCCCCAAGGGCAATTAAACACTCACTGGCGAGAACAAACAGACACATGGCATTTTGATAAAAACAATACTAAACATAAAGAGAACATTGTGAAGTACTATGTCCGGTGATCTAGGCTGTATGTGCCACGTGATTTCCCCATTCGGTGTTTGTGGCTAATGCCTAGTGGGTGGACACTACCCTCATTTTGGAGATGAGAACACTGAGCTGAAATGTTAAAGGCAGAGCTAAGGTGTGAACAAGAGTGCTTGACTCTGGGATCTGTGCCCTTCAGCGGTGACAGGGACTGTTCTTTATAGCATCTTTTCTTTCCAGTTATCTGAATGTCGTAAAGGGTTCATTATAAAAATTTTTTATAAAAGGAAAAAAAAAACCAAAGTGGGAAAATGCAAAAGGAAGAAAGTGAAATTCACACGCAGTCCCAGGGTAAACCAGCAATAATGCATTAATGCAGCAGCTGCCTTTTCATGTTTTTTTTATCTGTATTCACACAGCTCACACTCAAACCATAGGTAACCAGAATCATGCCAGGACCCACCCTTTAAACAAACACACATGCTGTTGACCTTTGGCATTGGATGTGAGAGCACTGTCTATTTATGTCACTTGCACGCTTTGTTATTTCCTCATCAACTTTAAGACCTCATGAACTGCCGGGCGTTGGTGGCACACACCTTTAATCCCAGCACTGGGGAGGCAGAGGCAGGCGGATCTCTGTGAGTTCGAGGCCAGCTTGGTCTACAGAGTGAGTTCCAAGACAGCCTCCAAAACAATACAGAGAAACCCTGTCTCAAAAAACCAAAAAAAAAAAAAAAAAAAAAAAAAAAGACCTCATGAACTGCATGCATTTGCTATTCTTCCCGTCTGCACTGCAAATGTTGGCATGGATACACCACTCACCTACTGGCTCTAACTAGGCCAGCTTTAAGAACACAATGGGCTGGCTCAGCATTTAAGAGCATGTACTGCTCTTGCACCAGACCCAAGTTCAATTCCCAACACCCACACTGGGCAGCTCGCAACTGCAATAACTCCAGCTACAGGGAAGCCAATGCCCTCTTCTGGCCTCCAAAGGCACTACACTCACATGCACATACCCAATCACAGACACACATTTATACACAATTAAGGACACAGTTATTGGAAAATTATGTGTATAGTGTTTTGTGTGTTTGTATATCCGTGTATGTGTGTGTGTGTATGTGTGTGTGTGTGTGTGTGTGTGTAGGCAAAATTATGCGTATAGTGTCTTTGTATGTTTGTCTGTATATCCATGGGTGTGTGTGTGTGTGTGTGTGTGTATGTGTATGTGTGTGTAGGCCTCAGGCTGATGTCAGGAGTCTTCCTTGATCTTTTTCATATATACTGGGACAATGTCTTTCAGTTGACCCTAGGCTTGTCTACGTGGCTGTCTAGCCAGCTTGCTCCATGGGGCCCCATCTCTGCCTCCCAAGTACTGGGATTATAGGCTGTTACAACACCCACCCAGCTTTTATGTGGCTTCTGGGTATAAGAACACTGGTCCTTACCCTTGCATGGAAAACCCTTTATCCACTGAGCCCTCTCCCAGGCTCAGATTTCTGCAGATGAATATTTCTGACCTTCTATGATAGATTTTGGTTACTTATCTGAACTACCTCTTTCTCTCCATAGGGAATATATATATATATGTATATATATAGTTATTTGAATATTACAATGGACCCATCATAAAATTCAAACAGCATAAAAATCTAATAATAAGGTAAAAGTATTGTGTGTACGGATGTGTGCATATCAGTATGGGAATATGCTACACTCATGCTCATAAGGGCAACCCCAAAACTGGACTGAGGGTATGTGTGTGTGTGACTTCTTAGCCACCTAATTTTTCTTATGTTTATTACATGCTTTAATTCATTTTAACTTGTTCTTGAATATGGCATGACTTTGGCAATGCTTTTATTTTCTTCCGAATGACGAACAAGTTGTACATCACAGTTTGAATTATGCAACCTTTTCTCACTGTACTAAAATACTACTTTTGTTAACACTGTTAAATCCACAAATCTAGTGGGGACTAATTCTGAGCATCTATTCTGCTTCACTTGACTGGTTTCCTTTTTAAGTTCTGAGGGACTGAACCCAGGATCTTTTGCATGGTAGAGAAGCACTACTAAGCTGCTACAGCCCTGACCCTTGACCATTGTTCATTCTTATGCCCCCAAACTGCTGTTTTTGTTACCAGGTAGAAAGTGAGGAATGGCACCCAAGTTTGACCTGTGACCTCCACATGTGTGGCAAGCACACACCCCCACACACACACATACAATACACATACAAGACAGAAATCAGTGACAGCCAGGCAGACTGTGCACACCTACAGTCCCAACACATAAGAGGCTGAGGCAGAAGAATTGCAAGCTTCAGGCTAGCCTGGGCTACACAGCAAGACTGTCTCAAAAATAAAAATCACCTGGAGTTTAAATAGAATCTACTACTGTTGTCTTACTCAATGGACATGGCATCAAATTGTCTTCTAAATACGTGTCATTAAAGCCAGGGATTAGTGTAGTTATCTGCTCTCATCAGAAAAGACTCCCCCCACCTGCCCTCAGGACACAGTAGCTATCACAGACTCACAACTAGTCTAAGTGCAGAGAACAAGTGACCGCGGGGCACTCAGCCCCACGTGGGGCATCAATATCACCCTGTCTACAAGGCTAAGAACACTGTGCACGAGGAGGCGGAAGGAGTCTGAGCCGGAGATCATGGTGGTTGGGGGGCGGGATGGCTATGAAATAGTGTCCTCTGGACATGACAGATAGACAGATTCCCACTACTCAGGTGCTCACAGCAGTGTCAGCTACCTGCAAGAGACCGGAGCAAGATTTAGTTAATCAGCAACCCAGGGTTGCTGGGAGAGAGCTGAGAGCTACTGGCTGTTGATAGCAGCTGGGAGAGGGAGAGGTGGTTTTGTCCTCAGAGGTGCGGCTGATGGGTGGCCCCACATCCGTGGACATGATCGACTCCAACTGGATTCCATGGGTTACAGAAAAAATAGAAGAGGATGAGGAAGAAGATATTGGGGGAGGGTAAGAAGGTAAAAGGGGTGAAGGTGGATATGATCAAAATACTGTATACAGGCACAGAATTCTCCAACGATATATGAATAAATAAAATAAATCTAAAGGCTGCCATAAATTTATTAATTAATTTAGGAGGAATTAAACACTTACTGGCATTCCTTCTTCTTTCATTTTATTCAGTTTTTTGTTTTGTTTTTCTGAGACAGGGTTTCTCTGTATTGCTTTGGAGTCTATCCTGGAATTCTCTCTGTAGACCAGGTTGGCCTCGAACTCACAGAGATCTGCCTGCCTCTGCCTCCAGAGCGCTGGGATTAAAGTTGTGAGCCGCTGGGCGTTGATGGTGCACGCCTTTAATCCCAGCGCTTGGGAAGCAGAGGCAGGCGGATCTCTGTGAGTTCGAGGCCAGCCTGGTCTACAGAGCTAGTTCCAGGACAGCCTCCAAAACAAAAGAGAAACACTGTCTCGAAAAACCAAAACTAAATAAATAAAGGTGTGAGCCATCAACATCCGAGCATTTTATTCAGTTTTGAGCTGTCTGTGTGTTGTAGATTTTTGCAGTTACTTCCTGCATTTGCTGTATCACATTGCCTTCTCCATTCTAACTTAAAAGCATGGACAGATATGCAGACGGTCCACAAGAGACCCCAGATCAAAAGTCCACCCAGGTCCCACTGTTTCATGGCTGTCACATAAAGCATCAGAGGAACCCGAAAGCTCTTAAAGCATCAAGAACATATTCTTCTGCCCTCCCTCCCTCTCTTTCTTCCCTCCTCCCTCCCCCTCACTTCCTTCTGTTCCTCCCTTTCTCCAGTACCTGAGAAGACAGCATAGAAGAGCAGCATTGCCCCCAAAATATTCTCTGGAGCTACTAACCATCTATGCCTGGGAAATGGGTACAGAGAGCAGCGAAAACTTCAATTTGGATGAAGGATTTGTAGCCGTGATGGAGCTCCTCAGAGACTACCAAGACATCTGTGTCTACTGGACCAAGTACTATGATTTCCAAAATGAAGTCGTCGGAAACTTTCTCAAAAAACAGCTGAAGAGAGACCGGTATGTCAACCATATTACTTATGACTTTTAGGAATAGAAACCCTGACTGAAGTGTCGTAGAAAAGTAAGAGACTCAAGTGGCTTTTGCAACTGAAACATTCGAAGAAAACTTCAAGTATAACCACGTCACCAAGGTCTCTTTCTGTGAGTTGGTCACCCCCACCCTTCCCAGGGCTTCACTTCCGGTTTATCCCTTCAAGGCTGCAATTGTTCTAGCCTTCTCCACTAGGCGCCAACTTTCCAGTATAGAACTGGTATGTCAAGCAAGATCTCAGAGGTCCAGTCTCACGAGCCTCCTTAGGCTCCAATCCTAATCAAGGGCTTTACTTGCAGGTATCGCTTCTGCCCAAAGGTGCATGCAACTCCTGCTCTGGACATTCTGAAGAATGTGCCCTGTTGGCCATAGTTTCAGTTTCAAATGAGTGAGTTAGGAAGTATATAGTCGGGCGGTGGTGGCACATGCCTTTAATCCCAGCACTCGGGAGGCAGAGACAGGTGGATCGCTGTGAGTTCAAAGCCAGCCTGATCTACCGAGGGAGTTCCAGGACAAGTTCCAATGCTACAGAGAAACCCTGTCTTTTTGTTTTGTTTTGTTTTGTTTTGTTTTGTTTTTTTGTTTTTACGAGACAGGGTTTCTCTGTATTATTTTGGAGGCTGTCGGTCCAGCCCAGCCTCGAACTCACAGAGATCCGCCTGCTTCTGCCTCCCGAGTGCTGGGATTAAAGGTGTGCCCCACTACCGCCCGGCGAGAAACCCTGTCTTGAGAAGTAAAAACAAAAAGAAGTTTATAGAGATCAGAAGTAAAAGAAAAAATAGCAAGTAGAGGAGCAGCCAATAGCAGAATATATTCAATCGGGTGCTCGCAAATCCAGTGGAGACAACATGAGCAGCCTGACTGGGAGAGCAAACAAAGGCAAGAGCATCAGACTGCTTAGGACACCTGCAGACATCAGCCAGGGAAGTGGGGGGGGGTGGTCATCGGGAGTTCCCCATGGATGAGATTCCCATGTGTGAGCCATGGCTGGACCCCCAGCTTCTTGTTCCCACTGTAGCATGGGATAAACAACAGTGGCCTCTGGATGGAAATGGCTCCCCTTCCAGCTGTTCTCAATGTCCATTTCCCCATTACAGAGCGGCAGGTGGGAGGGACAGCAGGAAGGACCCAAGACAAAGAGTCTTGGAAGAACTCTTCGAGCTACACGTTTGGGATTGTGGCTTAAACACCACATGGCAATTTACGATTATAATGTGTTTTACGATTCCACAGACATGAGGGCCAAGGGCCAGCATCCAGACCTTAACAAGGATCTGTTTCCATTCTCTCCTCAGGCCCATCATCCTAGACCCAGCTGACCCCACCAACAACTTAGGAAGTAGAAATGGATGGGACCTGGTGGCGAGAGAAGCTTCCTACTGCCTGCAGCAGACCTGTTGCTGGACTGGAAACCCCAGCAGGGGCTGGGATGTCCCGGTACAGTGCAGTCTCATACTCAGACCTCACAGTAGCTCTTCCCTCAGCACCCATAAGTCCCAGGACAGGCAACACAGTTAGGTATCGTAGCCTAATTCTCACCTATAGATGTTTAGGCATTCCCCAGGGGTTCCATAAATACAACACTGTAGTGTGCCCACGGTGGGTGAAGATTCTGCATAGTTCCTCACAGAAAGAGTATCCTTTAGACACCAGTTGTTGCTCTGGCTTTGGTAAGTCGAGGAACACAGTGTGACTTGGTGGTACGCTAAGCCTAGGGTGGCGAAGCAGCTCTCCTGTTGCCTTATGTATTTACTCAGAATCTCCCTGTTTGTCTCGGTACATGGTAATTTCTACCAGGAAGGGAGAAACTCTGTAGATAGTAGACGGTTCTCATCACACAGATGCCCTTTCTCTCTCTTACCTCTCTTGCAGCCAGCAAGGAAAATTCAGGTGACAGTGAAACAAACAGAAAAGGAAACCTGGAGGCTCTGGGTAGACCCCTATAGTCCCATCAGGAAGATGAAGGCAAAGATCAAAAGGACAAATGGCACCTCCGGGGAGCTACGCATCTCCTTCCTGGATCCACAAGGGGAGAGGCAACCGCTCAGCAGCCAGAAGACCCTATCCGATTATGGAATATTCTCTAAGGTGGCCGTCCGGGTGCTGGAGACCTTTTCTCCTGAGATCCAGGTCTTTGTGAAGGATTCCAGTGGCCAGAGCAAGCCTTACGCCATCGACCCTGACCATACCATCTATGACCTGAAGGAGAAGATTGAAGATGCTGGAGGGCCTTGCACAGAGAATCAGGTACTGATGTTGGGGAATAAGAAGCTGAAAGATCGTTGCAGCCTTGCAGCACTACAGATAAGAGACTGTGACACCATCCAGCTCAGGGTGATCTAGCCCTAGTCTGCCTACTGTATGACGTCAACACTTGACGCCTCCCTGTCTCAACCCTTTACCCAGACGTTGTGTTCATTCTGTACCCTAAATATCAACATTTGCTCACACATACAGAATGAAGTTCAAGTTTCTTTGCTGAATAGTGAGTCTTTGATGCAATCAAGCCAAGCCCTACTTCCTTCTCCGTCCCCACTCAAAACGCACCAGTCTCCCAAATACTCAAAACTCACGCTAAATGTCAAGTCATGCCCCCGTCACTTTGAGTCAGTTATTCTTTCCCCTTGGCCCACGTTTTCATATTTCAAGACTTAGACTTGTAAGTCACTGAATCTCAAAGTGCAGACCCCGGACTGACAGACTCACCATTACTCCAGGAACCTCTTAGAAAAGGAAATTGACCCAAGTCAGATATTCTACCGAGGCAGCCGTCAGTGCCATGATAAGCTCTCCAAGTTGTTCTGATGCATGCTCAAGTTTGAAAATGACTGGTGTACGGCCCATGAGCTGGCCAAGTCATCTTATGCTCGTATTCTCTCTCTTCGTCCACAGTAACCTTCTGTGAGAGGAAGTTGGGTGTTAATCATGTTGTTTTGTTAGATCTCTCTCTCTAGAACATTGAGACATAATTGTTTTTCTTGAATGCTTTATGCCTTGGCCCTTGTGATCTAGAATGGTACCGATCCAGTGTAAATATTTGACGTGTACCTGTTGAATAGATAAACAAACCAAAGAATGGCGTTGAATCCCTCAATGTTGTCTTCATCATATCTGATGCCATTTTAGAGTCCACGTAGTTTGAGGTGCCCCTAGCCTACATGTCATTCTCTAAAGATGTTCCCAAGTAACTTTTACAAACATCATACTGGTGGGTAGACATGGTCTCCCTCTGTCTAAACCCACCTGGACCAAAGGTGATGAGGGTAGACTCCATCCACTGGTTATCCTTAGGCAGGCCCATATTTCAATCTTGGAAAGCAGGGCCTGGTACAGTAAACTTCTTGAAAGAAGCTGAACAGTCAAGAATAGACCCACCCTTGCTTAAATACAGACAGAGAACCATTCTCCCACAGAACAGAGCCACACACAGCAAGAGACAGAGCCAGAGCATGCTCTCACGCCCAGGGAGAGGCTACACGAGTCGTTTGTCCCTCCTGCTACCCAAGTTCTCCTTGTACCTTCTCATCATCCTCATGTCACTGAATAAATCCAAGCGGGACATCTTTTCTGCCCTGAGACCTCTGTTTCCACAGCTAAGTTCAGGTCACTTATCTGTCCCTCAACACACGCAGAGTCCCATGCACCCGTGTGGCCTTTATACCAAGAGTCTCCATAGACAACATCATTTGGCTGTCTTCACAGCTGCCTTAGAGCTGGATGGACTTGTAGAAATAACAACCCTTCTACATTTTACATATGGGAGAAACAACAACAACAAACAAACAAGCAAACAAAAAGCTTAAAATATAGAAAATCAGCCGGGAGGAGGTGACACATTCCTTTAGTCCCAGCAGCACTCTGGAGGCAGAGGCAGGCCGATCTCTGAGTTTGAAGTCAACCTAGTCTACACAGTCCATTCCAGGACAGCCAGGGCTACACAGAGAAACCCTGTGTCAAAAAACAAACAAACCAAAAAAGTCCCTGCAAAAAGATGGATGGACGTCACATTGAGAGTGAGGGCTAGAAGGCTAAAAGCAGGTCCCCTCTCCCATCTCCCTCTCTCTGGTACCAGGAGGTGCCACTCACATTTTGGGTGGGTCTTTCCTATTCAAATGACATGATCAATAATAATAATAACAGTCCCTCACAAGAATGCCCAGTGGCTTGCCTTTCAGTTGATTCTAGATCCAGTCAGGTTGACAACTAAACTCATCCACCTCAGACTCCATCAGGTTACAAGTGACAGAAGCCTAAACAAATACAGTTTGAGCTAAATTAACTCATGACCAGGTGACGGCTCACACCTGTAACCCCAGGACTCAGGAGTCTGAGACAGGAAAATTGCTGTTCAGTTGGAGCCTACAGTTGGCCCCTGCACGATTTGGAAAGTTCTATTCCTGTCTGTCTGTCTTTCCATACCCCTTCAGTTCAGAGGGTCTCGGAACAGAGGAAAGGAGCCAAAATCCCAGCTCCGCATTCTTGCCAGCTGCTGCAACTTCCTCCCCTATGGCCGCCAGTCACTCAGCTTTTGACCATACTTGGGCACAAACCCAACTTATGGCAGACACATCATCGCCCCTTGGCTACAATCTATAAAACTTTCCTGCCCTGGTCTGGGTGCTTGGCTTCTCTGGCCTCCATCTCTGGGACTGGAGAACCTGCCCAGGAGGTGCTTTTTCAGTTAAGCTCAAGCTTTTAAAACTTTCAAACACCATCCAAAGTATTAGGAGTGAAATGATTGATGCTTCTTGGCCCTTGGGCACTTCATGAAGGTGAACAGAAAGAATATGTGAGACCTGAGTACTTTTTGTGTGAATAAATTGTCACTAGAAATATGGTGAACGTTGAGTCATAGTCTGTGTTGACTGAGTGCTGTTCTTTAAAATGTCATAATATGGTATGACTTAAGAACTAGTTGCTGGGCTGGAGAGATGGCTCAGTGGTTGAGAGCACTGGCTGCTCTTCCAGAAGATCAGGGTTCAATTCCCAGCACCCACATGGAAGTTCATAACTTCCTGTAACTCCAGTTCCAAGGGATCTGACACCTTCACATAGACATATATGCAGGCAAAACACAAATGCACATGGAATAAAAGTAAATAAGATGTAGTAAACACTGGGTGCTGAGGATAGACCCAATGAGAGATGGGGGAGGTGCTGAGGCTAGACCAGATGAGGGATGAGGGAGGTGCTGAGGATAGACCAGATGAGGGATGAGGGAGGTGCTGAGGATAGACCAGATGAAAGATGGGGGAGGTGCTGAGGATAGACCAGATATGGGCTAACTAACACTAAGGATGTCTGAACAGCTGTATAGAAGCCTGCTATTTCATAAGCTCATATTCACATAAAATATTTCAACTAGCATTATCCTACATAGGAAATAACCCTCTTCCCAGAAGATATACATACATTGCCAAATAAAAACTCCAACACCAAGCTGGGATACTGCCCCCCCCCCAATTGTCAGTCAGGGGCACCCTGGAGACTCCCAAACAATTTGAACTTTTGCCATTGCTCTTGCTTGCTGGGTGTAATGACACACGCCCTTAATCTCAGCACCTAGGATGCAGAGGCAAAAGCCTGTGAGTTTTCAGACAACCTGGTCTATAGAGTGAAGTCCAGACTACATAGGACTACACAGTGAGGTCCTGTCTTTAAAAAAAAAAAAGTCCTATTTGGGACTTGGGAAAGTCAACATTGTGAAACTCCCCCTGGTGGCTAGCTTTCATAGTACATGGAAGGTGCTATGCCAGCTGCTGAGGGTAAGTCATCAATAATCTTACCCACTGTAGCCTTCGAGCTACAGTAATGACCACCTAGCAATAGTGGCATGAGTGTTATAGGGGTCTGCTTCCTGATTACATTTAAGGTCTGTTCCATGGGAGGAAACACATGCCCAGTACTATAAAGCTAGCCCAGAATCCATAGCTGGAGAGCTCAGAGGTTATCAAGGTTGAACCTAGTACAGCGATATTCCTGATGAACTCTAAATTCAGCTCACAAAAATAAATGGCCTAGGGAGATGGAAAAAATAAAAAAATCATATCTCTGTACCCATAGATCAGTGAAGCTCCCGACCTCATCAGAGAACTTTCATTTTGGAGTGATTTTTGCACAAACTCCTCACTGGTTAAAGGACAGAGAATAAGCATGTGTGGCATGCTCAGCCATCGATGGGACACATACCACACTTTTCCTTGATGAGGTTCAGGAGCCATAAAAGAGGGGGAGACAGAGGTCAGGGAGGATATCAGCAAAAGAGCTGCCCTTGTGAAGTCACAAGCTGTGGCTGCTTGCACAGGACCTGCACAAGACCAAGCCTGTCTGTAGAATATTATTTTAAGGGTGTTACATTTGCTTATACTGTGGAACATCTGTTTTAATGATGCAAAAATGTGTTGTATCCTTTTATGTTGCATTTGTTTAACTCTGTAAAGCTGTGTTACTTTGCCTGTCTAAAACACCTGATGGTCTAATAAAGAGCTGAACAGCCAATAGTGAGGCAGGAGCAAGGGTAGGCAGGGCTGGCAGGCAGGATAAATAGAAGGAGAAATCTGAGAGAGGAAAAAGAAAGAGGAGCAAGAGAAGGAAGGGAGGACACCAGGGGCTAGTCCCCCAGCTATACAGCCAGCCATGGAGTAAGAATGAAAGAAAGATATACATAAATAAGAAAAAGAAAAATCCCAGAGGCAAAAAAGGTAGATGGGATAATCTAAAGAAAAGCTGGCTAGAAAAAAGCCAAGCTAAGGACAGGCATTTATAAGAAAGAATAAGACTCTGTGTGTGTCATTTATTTGGGAGGTAGGTGCGAGCCTTCAAAAGAGGCAAAAGGGTAAAACAACCAACACAAGCCAGTCACCCCTGCAGCATGGAGGGATGAGGGGCTCAGGAGCTCCTGCCCTTCGCCGAAGAACCAATGACAATTGATGCCTGCTGGGGGAGGAGTCTGTTTTCTTTAAGAGTGCGGCCCCTGGTATGATGATCATGTAGAGGAGGGAGAATGGAGGACAGATCTGAAAGGTACTAAGGAGTGGGAGTAACTGTGTTCAAATATGCATGTATGAAATACTCAAAGAATTCATAAGAATATGTGGTTTTGCAGGGTGGTGGCGGTGCATGCCTTCAATCCCAGCACTCAGGAGTCAGAGGCAGGAGATCTCTGTGAGTTTGAGGCCAGCCTGGTCTACAGAGCGAATTCCAGGACAGACTCCAAAGCATTGCAGAGAAACCCTGTCTCAAAAAAGAAACACACACACACACACAAAAGATTTATTTATTTATGAGTGCTCTATCTGCATGTATGTCTGCACACCAGAAGAGGGCACTAGACCTCATTACAGACAGTTGTTAGTCACCACATGGTTGCCGGGAATTGAACTCAGGACCTCTAGAAGAGCAGCCAGTGCTCTTAACCCCTGAGCCATCTCTCCAGCATGAGACTTTTAATAGTCGACATAATAAAAATGCAATGCTTCCCACTGAGATGAGCCAGTTTGAAAGTTGACGCTGAAATCCCCCATGAGCAGGAGAAGGGGTTGTTCATGTCCCTGGTCTCCCTTCCCCTTGTCCCACTTCCTCTTCAACACTTCCATGTTACTTCCGGGATGGCAGAAAATTCCATTTTGTTCATGATTTCAGAGGCATCAGCCGCTCATAGCAAGGTGGATGTGGAACAGCTCACACCAGTGGTTCTCAGTCTATGGCGCGTGACCCCTTTGGGGGTCAGATGACCCTTTCAGGGGGGTTACATATCGGCTATCCTGCATATCAGATATTTACAGTATGATTCATAGCAGTAGCAGAGTTACAGTTATGAAGCAGCAACGGAATAATTACATGGTTGGGGGCTCGCCACAACATGAGGAAATGTATTAAAGAGTCACAGCATTTGGAAGTCACTAGCAAACAGGAAACAGAGTTGAGCAACAACAGGAAGGAGTCAGGGCCAGGTAATACGCAAGGATGTGCACCCCCGGCCCCCCTCAATTCATTTCCTCTAAGCAGATCCCCCCTTCTGCAGATCCGCCACCTACCAACAGTCAACTCAAACTTTGAATCCATTAGTGGCTTAAGTTAATGCTTAGGCTGGGCTCATCCAGAGATGGGCTTTAGCAATCTCCTCGGGGATTCCTAATCCAGTCACATTGACAATCACACTTCACCGTCATATTACACTCACCATGATTTATGCTCTCACCTCGCCCAAAAAGCAGCAACCACTTTGATCTCTCTCTCTCTCTCTCTCTCTCTCTCTCTCTCTCTCTCTCTCTCTCTCTCTCTCTCTCTCTCTCTCTCTCTCTCTCTCTGTTTTGGTTTAGTTTTTGTCTTTTGTTTTGTTTTTTATTGTTGTTGGTTTCGGTTTCGGTTTCGGTTTTGGTTTTGGTCTTCAAGACAGGGTTCCTCTGTGTAGCCCTGGTTTTCCTAGAACTTGCTCTGTAGACCAGGGTGGCCTCAAACTCAGAGACCTGTGTTTTCATAAGCATGCAATGTGGAAGATTTTTTAAACTACTGACTTTGTCCCCACCTCTTTGGACACTCCTTCTAGGACAGCATGCATTTCTTTCCATCACCTAAATTATACTGCAAGGTACCATCTGTATGACAAGAAAACCAAATGTGGTCTTCACACGGACTCCCCCCCCTTCATTCGTGGACACCTCCAAGTCTTCCCTGAGAGACTTACTCCTGGGCTTCCATCATATCCACAGTCCCTCCTCTTTCTGACGGTGGCCCAAGAACAACGCCTAAGATGGGGCAGTCACCTGTTTTCTCCTGTCCTTCCCACCTCCTGTCCCCACCTCCTCCTACAGAGACTAGAACCAAGCCCCCCTCCCTACCTCCTCCATGCCCAATCCTGGTCCAGGCCATTGCTCCCATCTTTTCTTTTTTCAGACAGGGCCTCATTACATAGCCTCAGCTGTTCTGGAACTCACCATGTAGACCGGGCCAGTTTCAGGTTCACAGAGACCCCCCTGCCTCTGCCTCCCTAGTGCTGGGGTCCAAGGCGTGCGCCACCACCAGCCAGCCCCTGTTGTGTCCCCACTTGGACCACCACACAGGGCCCAGACCATAATCTGCTCTTGCACTTCTGCCATCCATCCTCAGGACAGACGGGGACAAAGCAATTGCCTAGAGTCTAAATTCACTGCGCGGCATGCTTGTGACTCACCACTGCCGCCTTTGGGACAGAGTCAGGACAGATTCACCTGGCATGTGACCCAGTGGGCCACTTCCTCTTTCTCAAACAGTGTTATCACTTGGCTTCCAGAACATTCTGCTTTGCTTCACCCTGCAGCTCTTCCTTGTTCTGCTTTGCTGAACGCTTCTCGCATCTCCCCAGACTCTGGGCCCTGTGACTGCTTCAGAGCTCAGCCTCCCTTCACTCTTCCTTCTTGTGGCTCTGCCTCCGTGCTAGTGGCATCTTCATTCGGGCTTTTGTTTTTTCCTTTTAAATACTTCATTTTATTAATATTGTCCGGGACGCATGTGTGAGTGCATATACGCACATTCAAGCTATAGTTAATTAAACAAAAGGCTGGAGAGATGACCTAGGGGGTTCAATTCCCAGCACCCACATGGCAGCTCACAACTGTCCGGTGACTTCAGTTCCAAGAGATCTGATACCTTCATGCACATAAAATAAAGTTAAATACATTTTTTAAAAACATCAGTCAGAGCAAGAGAGGGATTGCACACACCTTTAACCCCAGCACTTAGGAGGCAGATGCAGGTGGATCTCTGTGAGTTCCAGGACAGCCAGGGCTACACAGAGAAACCCTGTCTCAAAAAACCAAAAGGAAAAAAAAATCAGTCAGACAGTACATCCATCCTCTGCTCAG